TAAGCAGGTAATTTCGGCGGAATCAATAAATCCCCATCCGGACTATCTGCAACAGTTAAAACTTCACTAAATTTAATATACCTAGTACCGTAATATTAAATGTATAAATGTATTATTTGGACTAAAACTGGTCCAGCATATTTTGAAAGATGAATAGAAATATATGTAATTATTATATTCATACAATATATTGCTACACCTATAGGCTCTAAAAATATTATAGCCGAATAAGAATAACCGTAGATACATTATAACTTAGAATATTTWAAAAAAAAATCCCATTAATTTGAAAAATAAATTTAATTTAATAAATTATAAAAACATAAAACATGTTAAATGAACAAATCATTATAATATTATTTATTAGGTAATTGAATCGAATTGTATAACCTTTAAAACAATAATATTAATTGTATAGGTTAGGTTATGTAGGTATTTATTTTATTGATTTTTCACTAGTATTGTCCTCTCAAAACAAAATTTATTTTATTTTATGTTTTCTGGAATGATTTATTTGGTAAATTGTCGATTTATTAATAAAGGTAATTTGGATAATATTTATAACTTATTAGTTTATTAATATAAGATGTTAACTTGAAAAATGTCATACCCATCAAAATCAGAAACAAAAATTGGATCATCTTCATCAACTTCAGATAATAACTGTCGACCTATTACAATCGGGAAGTAAAATCCACACATGCTCTGTGTGTCACTAACTTTGATTTTCATATCTTCCGCTTTTAATATGGACCCACGCTCTAAATTTTTCGCAGCTACAACACTTTTGAATAACTTTTTGAAACATGGCAATTCAGACGGTGAGAGTTTATCTTTTTTCCCTGTTCCCAGTGCTACTTCAACTGTTCTAATATTAGTCACCATGGTACGAAAGTCTCGAGTGGAAATAGACATGGCGTGATCGTATCCGATAGATTTATCATCCAACGTAAACTTGCAAGATATTGCCTATAATAGTAACAATTATATTTAAAAAACTTTAAATAATAAACAAAAAAATAATAAATTATAGTAACTAAACGTGATATTATTAATAATGTTATACAATTATACGTCATTTACAATCACAAATTGAAATATGTAAAAATTAATTATTCTAAAAAAAATCATTTGTTTTTGTGTCTCCGTTACGTCTTGGACCAGAAAACGTACACTAATTTCAACAGTGAGGGTCGTTTATCTATAACAATAATTGTAGGTATATAGTTGGTACTCAGTTAGAAGTAAATATTTAGAGATTCCCAATAGGTACTTTACTTAATAATTTGAAATAACTTATAATTAATGAACATTAGTGTGAAAACGAGAAATGTTCACAACACCGAAGGTTTCACCAATATAATATAATATGTATGATAGGTACCTATAATGTATATATATATATATTTTTTTTTGTAAATCGAATTCATCATTCGACATTCATAAGCACTTCTTACACTCTATTCACAAATCTTCCCCCGTTTTAAAAATGGTACTTTTTAAGTAGGTACTTAGTTGTAATAACAAATATATTTGAATTAATTTATAATATTTAAAAATAATTAGATAAATTAACATTGCCTTATTATTATTTTAATATATTATTACAGTTAATTAAAACATTTAAATTCYTAATTTTAAACTATTAGTTATTTAATATTGATTAAAAAAATATTACTTTTATTCCGATAGCAATAACCACTTCAGGAAGACACGTGCTCATTTCTTGAAATTCCCAAAACTGGAGTTCATGTTTGGGAAACTTTTGTTGAATTTTTTCCACCAAATCAACGGTTTCATATGACTTACGATCTTCGGACCCATCCTTTTCTGGAACCGAAGGAAACGATATTTGCAAATCGCTAGTAATTTCATCCTCATCATTATTTATATCCTTAAATTGTTGTATTGGAGAAATTTGACGAATTGAATTCTAAATAAATTAATAACACTGTAATATGTGAAAATAATATGCATTTTACAAACTGACTAACCACTAGCGATTTGGTGGTGAAAACGGCGCCATTATCTTGAGCCAACTTATGAAAGTTAGTGATATCTTCACTAGTGAATGGATTTGTATTGTCGTCAAGTTCCATTAATACATAATCTGCTCCACATTTCTAACAAAATTAAAATAATATTGAAGACAATTAATTGATGATTTCTACTCTGATATATAGAAAATAATATATTTATACATGTATACCTTTATTTATCATCATAATTAAAACGTATTTATAAAATAAAGAATTTCAAAAATTTACTAGGAAAGTATCTACTTCCGAGGAAAAATCAGTAAATACATTTTCACGATCAGAAAAAAGCATTTGAGCCTTTAATATTTTTTAATTAAAATTATGAATTACAGTAATATATTCGTTTACCTATATAATTTTACTATATTACATCGAAATTATTTACGACAGTGTATATATTTAAATATTTAATTAACATTAAATATGTAACAAATATAATATTAGATTAATTACATTTAATCAAGAACTCAACAATTGTCAATTGAAAATATGCTTATACTCGTATTATTTACAATTTATAAAATAATAATTATTACGCGTCATTACATTTTCATCTTAAATTAGGTATAGAAATTAATTTCATACTTTTAAAGTATTATCAGGGCTGAAACTCGATTGAGCATAAAACACCTTTGTGACACGATTGAGGAAAATTGTCAGCGGTATCGAAGGAAATTAAAATACAAAAGAAAACCTACACGATTGAGCATAAAAAACTATGCAACTTTGTCATTTTCAATTTAAAAAAAAAAATATTTATTCCAATAATTATAATAATTTAAAATATAATATGTCCAAAAAATAACATGATTTCATAGTCAATATTTAATATATCTAGTCAGATTAAAATAGTATTTAGATTCATTTGATAATAACAAGAATAATAGATTTGGCATGAAAATAATAAAATCAAATTATTTATAATAACATTATAATCATGACGTGAAAATAATAAAATTAAAATATTTCTAAGTCAATAATAAATAGTAGTCACATTATATAATATATAGATTTGTTTGATAATATTAAAATTGTAATAAATTAAATTGAAATACCTTGGTGTCTATTTCCAATCTGTCTTAAATATATTAATAAATATTTTGGCAACATGAATGTGGCAACATCGCATAAAATATTCTATGCTCAATCGTGTTGCTAAAAAGGTATATGCTCAATCGTGCTTCACCGGTTATCAGATATCACTATTAAATTTTTTCTGTATCTATTAAATACATAATCGTAACGTGATTCTTTATATAGGGGGGGGGGTAATAAAATGTATGCTTATACCACCTATGTAATATAATAATAATAATAATGGGACGATTATACCTGTTGATGTACCTAACCGTCTTTTGTGGAATTTCTCCGAAGGTTGTACATAATATTCATTCAAAGGCACACAACGTACTGCCATTATTATATTATATTATAGTCNATAACATATAATCTAAAAATGTAACTAAAAAAGTAAAAACCAATTTATGGGATGGAAGGACTAAACAACATTCCGGAGGGGTTATGGTCTACTTAGACTCCCTTTATACACATMATTTATGATTAAATTTCTTCTTTAATTTGTCGGTAGGATAACTAAAAAAGTTAATTAATTTACATTTTTAACACCTCTAAAAATAATATAGTTATATAGATAATATGTTTTAATATATTTAACTTGTTATGTATTTAGGTAATATTATATAGGTATAGTAAAATAGTTTAATACCTTGAATTTGAAAATTGTTTGAGTTGTTGAAATCTTATAAATAAAATAAAAGATCACACTTTTTACTCAATTTTAAATTGATTATCAAAAGCTATTAATACTATTATTATATAGAACAATATGTCAATATACACTATATTATTATATATAAACTATGAAGAAACTTAAGATAGCCTAAGATAAACTCAAGAAATCTTAAAAAATACTAAGGTTATACATTTCCTGACAGAATATAGTATACAGTGCGAATATTAATTGTTAATCATGAATTATTCTGCGTAGCCGTAGTAGACAGAAGTATTATATTTATACATCAGAATAATTAATAGGTATAATTACATTATATTACTTTAAACAAAAACATTTTTACGTAAGTTTTTAAAGTGTTTCTGTATGTTTCATTTTATCCATGGCATCTTCTATGGTTCCTAATGCTTCAAAATGAATATTGTCCATTCCTAAAAAAAAATAAAAATTATTTGATTGATATAATTTATTTATATTTAAAAATTGTATATACCTTCCGTTGTTTCAATAAAATCACGTAAAATGTCCAACGCTCTTGTGGCTTCTTTGTAGGTAACTTTTCTTGAAGTTAAATAATCGTCTCTATCATTATTACGTATACAGTTTGTTAATCCCGCGACTTCAGATACTATTTCAGAATCATTCGAATTGCTACAGACTGTAAGGTTATCGTCAATTTTTACATAACTGTTAAATGTAAAATCTGGCATTAAATTATACTTTTGTTTAATATACAACCATTCAGGGTGATTTTTTTCTTGATAGGGTTCTTGGTAGGAAGAAATAGTTTGAACAAGACTTAATGTACCCGGGTGTTGAAATCCCGCTTTTTTAAAACTATTTGATATTATTTCTGACGTAACTTGTCTCCATGACTTCTCAATTATTCGAATAGCCTGTAATAAATCAATTGAAATAGTGCGCTGAATGGTTGTATATTAAACAAAAGTATAATTCATGACTTCTCAATTATTCGAATAGCCTGTAATAAATCAATTGAAATAGTGCGCTGAAGTTCAGTATTAGAAGTAATTTTACGTATCACTTCTTTTCTATAAAAAACCTTGAAGTTTTGAATTATGCCATGGTCAAGTGGTTGAAGTTTTGATGTGGTGTCAGTTGGCAAAAACTTGATAGTAATAGCTTTTAAATTTGGGACGATGACATGAGCAGTGCATTTATCAATAAATAATATAATCTTGCGATTTTCCGTGAACAACTTTTCATCAAATTGTTTAAGCCATTTATTCCACAAAAAAGATGTGATCCATGCTTTGGGGTTTGATTCGTAGTCTATTGGCAAAGATTTAATTCCTCTGAAGCATTTAGGTTTAGTCGATTTTGCAATTAACATTGGTTTAATTTTTTCGGTACCACTCATATTCGTACACAAAAGAACTGTGACGCGTTCTTTACTTCGTTTGCCATCACGGCAATCGTCTTCTCCATAAGATAGGTGCTGAGTACTGTCCGGTAGACATTTATAAAAAATTCCCGTTTCGTCTGCATTGAAAATGTCATTAGGCGAATACTCATTGATAATAGTTAAAATATCATTTTTCCATTGAATACTAAGTTGATCTTTACTGACAGACAAATTAGATAAATTTCCACTGCAAGGTTTTCGTAAAGTAATGTTGTTTCGTTTTTTCCATTTATCTAGCCATCCAGTACTATTTTTGAAATTAGTGTACCCCAATGACTTTGCAAATATTTTAGCCTTTTCTTTTAATATAGGTCCACTTACGGGCAGGTTACTATCCTTACACTGGACATACCACTTGAATAAACTAGAATCCAGATTCGGAAACTCGGATAGCTTAATTTTCTTCCGACTTGGTTGCAATTTGAAATTAGTTAAAATTTTTGTTTTATTTTTTAAAATAGTCGATAACGTAGAGCTCGGTATACCAAATGCGTTAGCTACTTCATAATTTTTTTTCCCGCTCTGTTCGACCATATTAATGACATTGACTTTTTCCGCAATCGTTAAGATTTTTAATTTACGTTTCGACATAATTAAAGTGTATAAAAATTGTTCTTTTTTTAAATGCAATTTGACAGTAAATCCACACTTCCACAACACAATTTCAAAAAACCCGCACGATCACATACGCTGATAAATTTATATTATTTATTATTGAACTCAATACACTGCACTACTTCAGGTTCAGATACACGTCTTATATAAAATATATAAATAAAACTGCAACCGTATGGATAATAATCCAAAAATTGTAAAATTTACCGGAGGTGTACAAATTTGATTTTTTCGAAGTGTATACAGATTATAATATTGTAGCAGTATTGTTACATATTGTATGGTAAAGTGCGCTTACTTGTATTATTGTTACAAGTCGAAACGATGCAGAAACTTTGCAGGGTGGGAAGGGGTGATACGTTTTTGCACGGCCGTGAGTCAGAGTTTGCGGATTTTTAGATAATGATTCTCCACCGCATATAGCATAAATATTTATAAATATATATTCGTCGTAAGTATGTGATGTATATAGTATATTATACTAATAATAAATCTACAACTTATATACGTACGTCCAATATTTCGAAAGCAATTATATTGATAATATCATACAAACATTATAATATATGGCCGATAACGTTCATATTATATCGTATATACGAGCAGGGCGCGCTCGCGGTTGTATCATCTTCACTTCTCGCAGCGGCTGCTGTGGTTATAGCGGACATAATTTCGGCACGAATGTTATCGTCATCGCAGACACGATATTACATTATATTTTGTCATTCTATATTTTTAACTAGACGTTTATAATACGCGCGTACTCTACGGCTCTACACACGCATTAGTTTCATAGTATGTTGTTGAGACGACAAAGAAAATAATATATCTAAATAATATAATACAATATTATAATATCACGATAGATATCATGCGACTTAACGGTACTCATCCTGCAATAATAATTACGCGTGAATTAGGGTCACGTTGTGATTGTTTTTTTTAATGTTTCAATCATAAATTATATATTATGGCTCACGCATGCTGTTTCGATCAGTTCGCAGGCCAGCTTCGCGTTCCCCTCGTGATTCGTCGACAGATTCGCAATGACGTACACCCGATTGTTTTTGCCAATATTCTTCATCACGTGCAATAAGTATAAGCTGCTCGCGAGCGTCCGACTTCCAGACGAGAAAACGAWGTACCTGCCCGGGCTACGGTCGTCGGCGTTTTGCGTATGCCGTATTGATTTTTTTGCCCGCCACAAGTGGCGAATGACGTCCAAAGCTTCGTACCACAGAACCGCGGTCGATGGGCAATGGGAGATATTAAACATATCGCGACCACAACCTGACGGACGAATGGACCAATGATATCGGACAGTTGATAACAAGTGGAAAATAATAATATTATTATTGTTATAACTATTTACTATATAGGTAGATAGTAATGTAGTTTATTAGTTTACTATTTGGCATATTATTTTCTATTTCTAGTTTGCTAGTGTTATAAAATCGCTGTGGCTAGAGACCTGGACAAAATTACTGTTTACCCTRCCTAAACTACATCATATTTCGATATTATATTGGTATTGTTAGATTTAAGCAAATCGACTGTCCTTAGCGACTTTTGTGAATTGCGATGTTAATGCGTACAACGACGTAGTATCGCGAAAAGAATTTTCGTTGTCCAGTCTTCAATCGGACACAAATCATGTCATTTCAGGATCCAACATTCGTCGGCGACACTCAAGAGTTTCAGAACAAACGTACAAACCTGTTCGCCGTGCTTGATCAAGCAGAGAAGGATTTGGAATCAAAAATTAAAAAAGCTTCAACAGCTGATGCACATGAAATACTCAATGGTCGTGTAGAACGTAGGAATGGTCGTTCAYTGACCAGACARTTCCGAGGCAAAGACAGTCTATTTGTCAAGCCGGAAATACCGCCGTGGCGTATAATCGAAAAACACAGACCACCAGATTTCAAATTACATCCCCACAAATGGACTAAATATTCATTGGCTGATGTGAAYGAAATGAACGACAAGAGCAATGCAGCTGCTGCATTTGCATTTCTTAAAGAAATGCAAACTAGAAAATCTAAAGATGATGAAAATGATAATGAAGAAGGAAAGAAAATAGTGTTCAAGCGAACCCTGAAGTCTAATGAACCAGAATTGAAACCTAGTTTTAAGAGCACTAAACTGGTTATGCCAGAATACGAATTTGGAAAAAAAATACAGAAGAAAAAAACTAGACCAGAACGTACAACAGATGGAACTACTTCCAATAAAGAAATTAAACTTGGGCATTTGATGGAAGATGAAATTGATGAATGATTCATATTTTGTGTAAACTGTAAATACTAGTTGTATAGTTAATTTTATGTTTGCAATCTTACAAAAATTATTTTAAACTTAATATTATTCAAATAAATTATTTATTAAAAATCTACTTCATGTCGAATTGCCGAAGTATACTTATATACAGGGTGTTACAGATAGAACTGATTTTTGGACTAACTTTTTTTCACATTAATATTTTTTATTTTTAGTTTTATTCATTTTTTTTGTTCATTAAGTGAACCTAGTGCTACATGTACAATACATTTTTTAGTACTGAAAAAAAAAATTAATAAAAAAAAAAAATTGGATAAATTCAAAATTACATATTTGTGAATCTGATTATAAAAACAATTTTGATGGTAAAAAGATTTATCTAAGTCAAGTGCCTAATTTATTTTTTTAAATTCAATATTTTTTTGGTTAAATTAATTTGGAACTCAGTAACTTTAAAAAAAATATGATTTTTGAGAATTTGCTGAGATGATTATATTTCTTAATTTATTTATTGATCATATAATATTAAAAATTTTGTCATATGATGAATTTGCATAATTTTTTTTTTTTTGGTCAGGTGTTTCTGTTACACCCCGTATATCTACTGTAGAGTTGTGATAACTCAAATATTTTTTTATTCCTCTAGAAAATTCTTCCTCTAATAATTAGTTAGATATCTTAAAGCGAATTTTTATCTCCCTTCAACTTTGAGTTATCGTGAAAACTGCACTTATATATATTTTATTTTAACTCAATAATATTAAGTACTCTATAACTACCATTAATCAGTACAAGAAATGCTTAATTATTCATTGATKTATTCTAAAWTAATTCTAGCAAAAAATATGTACTAGATTTTTCCAACAAATTTTAACTCCCTAACAATTCATTGGACCATTAAAACAATATAAATTACTCATAAATTTATAAAAAAAAATTATTCAATAGGTAATGCAATTATACTTTCACATTTAGGTTCCTCCTCACCATAAATATGATTAATAGTTATAAGCAAAACAAAAGTATTAGGGGTTTTGTTTTATGTAAAAATACAAAAATTACATTGCAAATTTATAATGACTATTATTATCATATCTATTTCTTTGTTTAATTTGAATTATGAATAAAAATAGATTTATAAAATTTTGTATGATAAAAAATAATTTGTTACATAATAATTTTTGTTTATATTATCAGTAATTAACAAAGTAAATTATTCAAGAATTTAATAAATGTCCTCCCCCTCTAAACAATTAAAACATGTAAACATGTATAAAACATATATACACATGTTTTTGCATACATCACAAATTAACTGTTATAAAAAAAGAAAAAAAACCCAATGGCCTATATCGCCGAGGGTATATTTYGTTTTAATGAAAAAAAAATGAAAAAGAATTAATAATATAAAATATATATGTATATATTTATTTATTTATGTTATTTTAACATTATATTTTAATATTATACTCAAAACTTTAATGACAAAAAGTATAAAACGTATAAATAAATGGATGCTTATTTTAAAATAGAAAAATAAAACATTATATTATTATATATTTCTTTAAAAGAAGTTCAATTTAAATATAATATTAGTTAAATAGCGGTAGTCGGGCAAAATCAAATAAATACAATCAATCAAAATTAATAAAAAAGACAAATATTTCACTTTAAATTCTTACATCGTTATCGTAAAATTATAATATTAAAGAATATATCAATAAAAATAAATTGTTAAACATAATAAGTACGGGATTCCCAATTATATGTAAAATATGTAAATAACTATTTAATATATTATGTTTACAATAAAACATACAATTGGGGACTATTAATCATGTCAATAGTATCAATTATAACTCATAACAATATAACAGACAAGCTAAACAAAAGGTTTAACTGCAATAGGTATATTGAGTAAGATAAAATWAAAAAAAAAAATTCTTTTYATTMTTTTTAATTTAATAATATGTATTTTTTTTAAAGAAAATACCGATTATTTAAGATAGTATCTGGGTAATATGATTTGATCAAAAATTTTATATTAAATAAAAAATAAAATATATTTGTTTTTAGTGCTTAAAACATACAAGTTACATAAAATATATATAAAAAAAATTATTATATCTTATTAGTTATAACAAACAAATTTTTTTTTTTTATAACTATACAAATAGGACAATAAAGTATAAAATTATACAAATTTGAATAATGCTGATATGTTATAGGTTCAACTGCTTAAATTAAATATTATACAAATACAAACACATAAATTAAATAGTTTCCTTAGAAGAATGTAAATTAATAAATAATTATGACACAACAATGTGATGAAAATTAAAAATATAGATATGAAATACTATAATTGCACATACAAAATATAATAAAGAAGTATATAAATGAACTAGTTAGAAATCACAGTTTAATCAATTAATATAAGGCACAAAATTCCAATGGCATGAACATTTGTTAATCAWACATTTAAAATAATAATTAAATTAAAATCACCGTCCGGCGTCCGTTTATTTTTAAATAAATAAAAATAAACCATATATTAAAATACATTTATAATTCAAAACATTTTCAGAGTTTAGTTATACTCAACGGTTATTAAAACTATAATGCCCTTGAGTAATTTACTAAAGAAGATAATTTTCTATTTTTGACTTTGTACTCGATCATTTTTACTTACAAGATTGAATAAATATTTGACAGAATTTACGCTTTAATGAACGGATGAACTGCAACATTTGGTGGTATGATGTACACTATGCCACCATTATCATCTTTCCTAAAACTTGCTGTTGATGTTTGTGGATTGACTTCAACTCGAAGCATTCGAGATTTTTTKCCCAACATACAGTTAAATTTGTTGGACACATTTACTGGTAGCTCAGAGTTTCTTAATCTAAAATAATACAAATAGATAATTTTGTTTTTAAATTTGTATAMAAGTTAAGCACTCTCTGTATTAGATATTATAAATTTAAATTTTCTTACTGAAAATATCTGGTGCTGATTACTCCTAACAGCTCACCAATTCTGTCTTCATTAATGTCAGCAGTTGGCTTTAAAGTAACTATGAGATCATTTCCTCGATTAGAATGAATTACAACCAGTTGATCTTGTCCTGGACTAACACTCATTCCAGTTACCTAGCAATAGAAATTTATAAATTATATATCTAGGTTCAATTGTTTTTTTATCACAAGTTATTTACTTCTTGTATAGGCATTCCTTTTTTCATAGGTTTGAAATTTGTTATGTCCAACTTATAAACTGCCCAATCAGTTATTAATATTGCACGATCTGCACACTTATTATAACGGTTGGTTTTATGGATGAAACTCGAAAACAACACCTACATATTGTATTCATATAACTAATATAACAGTTTAAATGAATTGAGTTTTCAAAATATTATTTCAATACCTGATTAAATCGATCAGAATTCTTAAGGTTATTTAATGCAACTGTATAGTTTGCATTTTGTACGTTTTCTGTTGGTGATGAAAGATAATCACCTCTCCACATACGTTTTGCACCCCAACTTGGCCGTTTGCCCCATAATAAAGATGCAGCATATACTTTACAACGCAACTGTGGCCACTCACTTCTAGGATAGGGGCTCAAAAGCTTATATGCTTTCCATCGTTTGTATATAGACTTTAATGAAGGTTCTAATTGACGAACAGCAAAATTTGTATGTGGCCAAACAATTGATTCCTTATGATGCAAATTCATTTCACAAGTTCTAAAACATAAAAATCGATTTATAAATTAATTATAACTATTAGGATTGATTATATGTTAGGTGCATAAATGTTTAATTAACCTATGAGCTTCCAAGACAGATTTAAGGTAAGTACGTATTTTATGACGCCGATAGAATTTAATTATAAAATAGGCAGCTTTCATTTTGCGGAATTTAGCACGACAAATAGCACCTCTCCACTGCTTTTGCAATAATATAACAATAGCTGGAATTAATTCTGCTCTCATCTGAAAAAATGTCATCAAATAAATAATTTGTTTTATTGTGAAATATCTAGATGTTCAACATACTTTTTCCAGGGCAAATAATGTTTGAGGTGATCTWATAAATAGCTTTGTTATTCCATATTTAACATCATTTGAAAAATGATTTTCATCTATTAATGCTCTGGTAGCTTCTTTGTCACTACATTTATAACTAGGCCATGTAAAACCACTTATCATTTTATACCTAAATTCAACATTACAAAGTATTATTAATTTTTGTTTAATGTACAATGAACATGATGTATAAAATCACACTTACCTTTTGAGAAACCTGCTATAAGGCTGCCTATGAGCAAATCCAGCCCTTCGCACTCTTACATTTTCTAAAAGACCCAAATAAGAAACTTGATGAACAACTCTTTTATAGTCTATSCCAACAGGTGCTTTATTTTCATTTGGTTTTATACATCTAACATAATATGGCATTTTACTATTTAACGTTTTGACCAAAGCAATCATTGATGTTTTAAACGCACTTCCAGCAGTTACCGGTCTTTTTGTTGTCTATGGAAAGCAATAAAATTAAAATTATTAGGCACTTATGAACAAATTATAAGCCAATTTCATGTAATATACTTACAGACTTTATATCTAAGGCTCCTTCAGGCCACATATCTCTAATAATTGGATTTTTTGAAGAGTAAAGTAGTCTTTTAAAATCTTGAAATAATGTATCTTTATTTTTTTCCAAAAAACCATAAATATTRTACACTACATCACCAGCATAATGTCTTGAAATGATAATAATAATTAAAATAAATGTTGTTAATTAATATTATGAACACTTACAAAATTTTAAATTGAGTTTTATGTTTTAAATCTTTATCCAATGTATTCACCTGTCTGCTAGAATAGTGTTTGTGATGWGACAGTTTTGAGTCCATGGCTTCTAATAACATCTAAATAAATAAATGTGAATTAATTATTTAAGAAAATAAATTTATTTGTTTAAAATCAACATACTTCGTCATTTACTTTGCCTACATTCAGACAAGCTTCATCCATAATTGCAATTACACCTTGATGTGGTTTTTCTACAAG